GGGTTACACGTCATTCCCAAATATCAGCTTCCTACAAGTATTCTGATAATCCCATTGTATTTCCTTTCGCTTTTCTCAGTAGGGAGTTAGAAACTAAAATATGCTTGGGATGAAAAGGTCTAGTTTGTTTTATGGAGTGAATAGGAAGTTCAGTGGTTTGGATGTCTGGGTTGGGCACGCGTGAAGCAGGGCCAATACAGCCAGGACACACTGATGCCAGTCTTAAAGCATTGAGGTAGCTCCATACTGGTTGGTAATAAACAGGCAGCACCCCAAGACACTCATTGCCTGGCACCTTGGTTCCCTTGGTTTCCTTGGACAACCTAGCAGGTAAGGGGTTAAGCCTGGCATGCCTGGGGCCCCTGTTTAATTTGCTAGTGCCTGGTGTAGTTTTGGCTGTTCAATATTATGAATATTACCCCTTGATGAAAGGAATGGAAAGGAATTACCACTTGATTCCCTTGGCAGTCCTGAGGGAATCCTGAAAAACTGGAAATAAAAACAATATGGGTTAACGTCTATTAAGAACTGTTTTAAAGGCTTTATACATATTTACTCATTCGACACCTTCAACTATCTTGTGCTGCAGCTATTATTAGTTACCCCCATTTTGCAGATGTGAAACTGAGGTCCAGGTTAACTTATTTGCTCAAGGTTACAGTGGTGGAGTTTGGGATTTGAATTCAGGCTAACCCCAGAACCAGTGCTCTTTTCTAATTCTCTTCAAGCTCTGATCTTCCATGAGTCTCTAAGCAATAAACATTTATTAAGCTCTTGATATGGAGAGCTCTGTATAAAAGCACTGCAGGCAAAATAAAGGAAAATAAGACCTAAATTCTGTCTTTGCATAGTGAATGCAGTCGAGCTCCTCCTCTCCTATTCCGGACAGCATGAGTCCCACGCAATCCCTTTCTGTGTCAGAGAGACCATTTAATGAACAAATTCCAGAGAAAATAGTTGGTATAAAGGACTCTTTTTGATAGTGTTCATTGAAAATCAGAAGGGCAATATTTTCATAGGTTGCTTTCTAGTACGTGGGATTTGTTTTTTGATATAGAAATTTCTGCTTTTCACGTTGATATGAAAATTTTGGTAATGTTTTTCATAAATATGAATTCAGAATAAGGTGGGTCAACTTGAACTTCATGCAAATGAATATGAATATAAAACATTTTCACCTGCACAGGCATTGCAACACTCAGAATTTTAGGATGAGATACATGTGTCTGTTTTCAGAAAACAATCGTATATCATTTATATAATGTATCAATGTAAATTATGTTTAAGGTAAATATGATTGAATCCTATAATAAATTTTTTCTGTTATTAATGCATGGGATTTTATAACAAGGCAATGCTTCCGAAAGCAAATTCTATTTTATCCTAATTTCAGTTAAGTTGCCATGATAATAGTTAGTGTGATACGTTCTAAGAAGCATTCATGCAAGGACAGAATGCATGAAGTGGTCTCCAAACATGTTTTACAGGTGAAAGCTTTTCTGTTATAAGTGGAAGAGAAATTTTTCATGGAACTTGAGAAATGGAGGCTGGGAAGCCAGAACAAAAATTACCTGCTCTCTTCCTTTGGATAAGAACTCATGTTTACTCCTGCAGTTTGTTTTAACTGACTGGCCTTGATGTACTTAGGAAAAAACCTCACTTAGACTCTTCTCTACCACTGCACTTTACTGGCTTTCAGTACAACTTACCTATTTTTTCTTAAGGAACAAGTGTAAATAAAATGGTATTTTAAACAGAAGTTTTAGAAGGCAAAACAATCAGGTGGTTTATGTATGTTCAACAACATTTGGAATCATATCATGAGCTCTAGCATCTGGTTTCAAATCTTGGATCCATCCCTTATGAATAGTTAATTAGCTGCTTGGTGACTCAGTTTCCCTGTCAAATGGTGATAACAATAGTATCTATTTCATTAGTCTTAATATTGATTAAGAGTGTATATATATAAGATATAAAGAAATAGCACTTTATATGTAAGTGCTTAAATGTATAAAGAATAAATATGATTATATATGTATATATATACATGAACAGTTCATGGTACATGATAAACTTCAGCAACATTCATTGTTACAAATCTGCCCAATTTTAAAGGGATGTGTTATAAACATTTGTTTAAGGTCCTAAAATATAAACTTGATATATCTGCTTCTTTGACACCTTATTACTTTTCTCCTAGAAAATTAATTTGAATATTATTTCCATTTGAAAACTCCAAATTTAACTGTGAAGGGCTAACAGCTTTAAATAATTGAAACCCTCGTCCAATTCCAGGAAGAGTTTCCTGGATTCTGGAATAAGAACCCTCTATTTTGTGCCCCAAAAAACAGACAGTGCAGTTTTGACACAGTTCTCTGGCCTGGCCAAAGTGTGTTGTACAGTGGTTCCTGTGCAACAGTCTTTCTTGAGTGAGGGTGGTGGTTAAGATCTACAGAATAAAGCCACCCGGAGCTCAGGTCTCCTATGCACTGACCCATCCCCACACCCTCCTCATCATCACATGTTCTTTTCTCTCACACTCATTCAGCTAGTATTTATTGAGTAACTAATATGGGCCAACAAATGTGTTAGGTTATTAGGATACATTTAAATGTAAGACATGGTCCTTGCTTTCCAGCAGATGATGAATGAGTAAATAGAAAAAGATTATCATATGTGATCAATGCTATAATAAAGATATTCAATGTTATGGGAATATAGGGGAGATAGAAACACAAAAGCTTTGATCAGTCAATAGCAGCAATATTTTAAAATGTTCAATTTGTTAAATCTTTAACAACGGATCAAATTCTAAGTTGATTGCAAGCAAATGAAAATTAAGTTACTTTTCAGATTCAAATGGTTTTTAAAAATGAGTAATTTTAGAGTAGTTACTAAACTACAAAATTAAAATGTTATTAAAAATTTTAATCACAGAGAATCAGTCTCTTCAAATGTCAAATGCAATATAATGATGTTCAGGGTAGTTAACAGTTAAAGTTCAGAGCATGCTGAAAAGAGAATGAGTTTTCCTCACTCTCTCATCTGAACAAAGCATTTTCCTGGAAAGATTTAGAGCACAGCTTTCGTCAAGGTTGTGGCAGTTCATATTTTACTCCTGAAAACATGGACAATGAATAAAACATAAGAACATTTGAATGACAAGCTTGTCTTTAAGAAATTTTACTGGCAACAACACAAATCCTGGACTTCATCTTTCAAATGTCATCTCCTTGGTGAAGTCATCTGTGAATGCTGCAAACACAGAAGAACCACTGCTCCCTGTCCTTCATCGCGGTATCATTAATTCTTTATTGGCCTTTGTTCCCCTCAAGAGTGTGAGGTAGGGAGACCAACCCCTCCTGCAGCAGACCAGGAGACAGGGAGGCTGCTTAAAGTGCTCACTGTCACTTGACCTCACAGGCCTGCTAATAACAGGAAGGATCTCAGCACACCTGACAAAGAAGGAATGAGGTCTATTTGTCCATCAATTTCTCAACCAAGAAACCCCGGTGTTCTCAATCTTAATTCTATTGAGGAGATTGACTATCTCAAGGACTTGGAATGCTAGCGTGGGCAGAAGTTCAGGTGGCCTTAAGAGAGGTTAATTAATCAGGCACTAAGTTTTTGTTCCTGCTAATTAGAAAGAGCTGCCAAGAAGAATTAAAGTGCAATTTGTAACTCATTCTGATTGTCCTTCCTCATGACCCTACCTGAGCTAAAACTTGGAGGTAAAGAGAGGAGAAAGGGTCAGAGGTTGGAAGACACCTTGCAAATGGCCTTGGATCCTAGCAGAGGCACAGAAGGGACTCCAGGAAGCAGCTGGGGTGGTGGTGATGGGGGGGAAGGGGAGGTGGGAAGCAAGGAGGCTGCCAAGGATGTAAAGGGTGCTTGGGGGTGCACTGGTAGAGAGGGCAGGCCTGCCCTGCAGACCGCCCCGGGGCTAGATATGGCGATGTCAATTCGGGTGGACTGTGAGGTTGAAGGGACCTGGGGGGAGAGGTAGGTGGGGGTCCTCACAGGGCAAGCTCCAGGCAGAGAGCAGCGTTCAAAACAGAGCCTCACTGATACGGCCCGCATCCTACCTGATCCCTCCCACTGTCCTGTGAGGTGGGCATGGCAGTAACAACGGATACCGCCACTTAACGGTTAGGGAAAGTGAAGGCTCAGAGGGACGCTAAGGTCGCAAGAGGAAAAACTGGCGGCTGTTTAGGCCGGCAAGCGCCGAGGGGGTGCGGTGGCAACCGCGGGAGTGCTCCGGAAGCTTCCTAAAGAAGATCGTGGTTTGGCCTCCGTCCGATTTCCTTACTACCCCCACCGGAGTTGGCACAACCCCAAACGTAGTTAAATAGCTTCGACAGCATAGTCCCCCAATTCCTTGGGCGCTGGCGTTTTTCAAGGCCGCGATTCCCCGGCGACCAGGTCAGTCTCAAGCCAGGAAGCCCCGGGCACGCTCACGGTGTGGTGGTGACTTTACGCTCGGGAATTGGAAAGCCTCCGGTGCGCCTGACCCAGAGGGGACATTGGGCCGTTTCCACTTTTCTCTTTTTTTCCCCCCTCTCTCGCCCCAATCCCCTTACTATGGGTACCGATGGCTTCTGGGGTCTCTTTCTCTCTCCCCCAATCTCCATTTCCCAGCCAGCTGAGTACAGAGAATCTTCACGATAGGGTGGTTGGACTTCCAGGGAGGGCGAGCTGAGAGAGGCTCGGACATGGAGTCATTCAACAAGCATTGTTTGAGTTCGCCCCCGGATCGAGCCTGGGGGCAGAGCAGGGTAGGACACTGGTACCCCCTCGTGGGGAGACACGCACGAACGACAGGATGATGTGCTGGAATGGTCTGAACTGTTGGTGTCAGAACTCAGTACTTAGCGGTTAACGACTTCATTAATAAAACTCCGCAAGACAGAGTAGCCACTCTTCCCTGGACGTTGGCCTCGGAGGCAAACCCTTCCCGAGACCGTCCGCTAGGGTGGGGATCGCGCCGGAGTCACAGGCGTCCGGACCCGCCCCTGCGTCCCCAGGCGTGCTCTCCAGGGGAACCTCCCTACCAGGGAAGCCGAAGGCTCGAGGCTGGGGAGGCTGTTGCACGCCCCAGACTCCCGGATCCCACGTTTGCCCTCGTCACCCCTGCCGCCCGGACCCCGAGGGGCACCCCGTTGGCGAGGACCCAGCTGGGGTCCTGCCCGACGCCCGCGCCGCTTCCGCCGCGCGCCTCCGCCGGGCACCTCCCCTCGCCCGCCTCGCCCCTCCTCTCTCCCGGCTCCGCGTCCTCAGCTGCAGGTTCAATCCCCGCGGGGACCCGGAGCGCGGGCACCCGGAGCGCCACGGCCGGTGTGCGCCCACACTCCCCACACTGCTGCAGCGGAGACCCGGCCGGGGGGCACCTGCGCGCTGCTGGCACGCGTCCGGGGCGACCGCGGCGGGCTAACTGGGCATGCTCAGGAGCGGGGCGGCCGGGCGCCGCGGGAGACAAGCGCATGCAATCTCGGGGCCCGGCACCGGCCGTCCAGGGGCGCCGCGCGCAGGCGGCAGCTCTCGCCGACGCTCTGGCCAGCTTGGGCAGGACGCCCGCCAGGATGGCCTCCCTGGCGGCATACGGTAACGACGGGCGGTGGCGGGCTCCTGGGGGCGGCTATGGCGGGTGGGGCTCGGGACCCGTCCGATCACCCCGGAAAACTTCGGGGTTGGCTCCGGGAAGGTCTGGAAGGGAGGGAGCCGGCTGCAGCGCGCGCCGGCCCTAGGCTTGGGGAGCCGATGCTCTGCGCAGCTGGAGGCTGCCTGGATACCTGGCAAAGGGGTGTTTGCATAAAGTGTTGGTGGAGTGAAAACACCTGAAATTTAGAGGATATCTGGGAGCTTCTGAACTCTAGAAAAATCCAGTTCGCTTCAGACCATGGAGGGGAAGGAATACCGGTGTTAAGTCCTTTTTAAGGACGAGACTCAGAGTTCGGAGATCTGCGTTCAGTCAGCGCTTATCTCGTCCCTGGCTGACCTTGGGCAAGTCAAACTTTTGTTCTTGCATTACTCTATCTGTAAATTGGAGAGGAGCACGTCTTTTAAGGCAGATGCTGTGCGGTTAAATAATATGAACAAAATATGTTCTTAATACAAAAAACAAAAAACAAAAAAACCCAGCTTGGTGATAAAATTTCCATGGAAATGGAAGCCATTCTCCCTTAGTTTGTTAAAGAAATATGCAATTTTTATTGTATATTATACAATATACAGTACTGAAGGAAAACAAAATCACAGTTTGAAGATTTCAGATTCAGCTAGAAATGCCCGCGCGCTGGGGAAGCCAACAAGGCTTTTTATCAATATTCCTGCTTGCATGGTAAAAGCAATTCTCTTTAATCCTTTATCAGAGATGCTGCCTCGACTGGGTTATAAGAGGCAGAAACTCAAGTAGACCTCTCTCCTTTCCCCTGGCTTGCAGTCAGTTGCTGTGATAACATCAAGTTTCGGCGTTTTAAACGGAAGGTAGTGAGCGATTGTTGGGAAATGTTCTTCAGGGACATCTCCAAGCCTGGAGTTGGCGGGAGGGAAATTTCTCTTTTGCGTGGAGGTGGCTTCCTTCTCTCGCCAGTGTTGTCCACTGCTCATTTCCCCAAGGTTAAAGAGGTCGGTCTCTCAGGATTTAAACTGTTTCAAATAACCACTCAGATGGCTCTGAGGGTTTGCAGTTGACGCTTGGAAACTGCTAACAAATTATGAGCTGATTACTAATTGCATCCTAGGGGTCTTATTTGTTTTCTGCTAGGTTATAAGTTGTTCTTGCCCTTGCTGCAGATATAACATACAACATTGTGGGTACTGGGTTCCCAGCTGGGGATAATTCAAAATTCTGATGGTGTTTTAGGCATATTCATTGGTAAAAATCTATTTTTACACCTTTTCCTGTCAGAGGGATCTAACTTCTGGTTTTTATATCATGTTAGATTTCACATACTGTCCTGTGGATACTGTCAGTAACAGGTTTACTTGATAATCAGTTCCAGAAATTTCTAGAAACTCTCAAAGTTTAATTGGGCACTCAGATAAAATGAAGCCAGAAATAGTGGAACTTTTTGAAAAGTATATTTCAGTAATTAAAGGAAAAGGTGGCAGATCATTATTATTATTTTAGTAAGAATTACACAGGTTTCTCTTCAGAACCTTAAAGGGAAATGAAACAGATTTAAATAAACATATAATTTAGAATTTGTGCTATTTTAAATATATTCTTGACACATTTTTCCATCCCTCATCCCTAAAGTGGTGAATACACTTAGCCACAATGTGCACGGGTCTGTAGCCTTGTGACTCAAGACACGACAAGATAAGTGAGCCATCAGGGAACAAGTTGAGGAAAAACAAAATTGAGCACACCGAATATATTCCTCACTCGCTAGATGCTGTTGAGATCATTATCTGATGAGAAATTGGTGCATCTCTGGAACCTTCCATAAGTAATCTCTCTGAAGGACATTAAAAAATGTCCTCTTTCAATTCTGTTGGATTTGAGTTTAGATATCATGATGGGGGTGATGTCGGTTTCTTGCCTGGAATTTGTAGGATTCAACTATAAAATTTCCTGATTTAATAAATGCCTGACTTCTATCTTTAGCCCAGAGTCTGCCAAAAGAATGACCAGTTATGATCCTGTGTTTAGGTTCCCAAGAAGAGAGAGAAATTTGGCTTATGTATGCATTTCATTAGCAGCAGCAGCTTCCAGTAAATCTCATTAGCTTCTCATCCAAATATTCATTTTTGATCCTATATTGGAACTTGTTCTTTATTTTAATAGGAATATTTACTTTCAGGCAGCCATCTAGACTCATGTATTCTAGAAATGTGAAATGAGATTGGGGCAATTAATAACTGTAATGTGCCCTCTAATATATGTCCAGTGGATGATGTAGTTTTTAAAATTCTGGATTTTTAATGCTTCAACCTTTTGTACTTACCACCGATTTTTCTCGTGCTTTAAATGGTTTAGGTTCATAACCGCTTTTAGCTCATTATATAACCATGTGCATGAGACCAAGGATGGGTGACAAGTCTCTTTTAGAGAGAAACGACTGGGACTTGATTCGTTTTTGGCCATGCGGAAGAATATATAGGGCCATGTCTCAGGCTGACCCAGGAAAGGACTTGTGGTTGGACTTGCCACCCTGGCATGAAGCTGTTAGCTTTGGATCTGAGGAGGCTTAATAAGGCACCCCAGGAGCTTACAGAGCATGGGGCTTTTTCAGAAAGGGAAAGCCTCTCTGAAGAGATATTTGAGCAGAGACCTAAATGAAGAACAGGACGGAGCCATTCTATTATGTAGGAAAGAGCATTCTTGGCAAAGGGAACAGTAAGTGCAAAGGCCCCGGGGGGCAGGTACGAAGGCGCCATGTTCAAGGCCAGGTGGAAGGTTAGCCTGGCTAGGACCCAGAGTGCAAGAAGAAGACAGGAAATGCAGTTAGAGCCAGTATTGGTATAACTATCTCCCTTTATTTTTCTCCTCTCTCTTAAATCGCTTCTTGTTTGTGGGCTCCTGTTTATGTTGGTGGTTGCCTGGGTTTTGCCCTTGACTTTATAATCGTACTCTCAACTATGTGGATGACATTGATTAGACATCTATCAAATTCGAGACTACGGCCCCAAGTACAGTCAGTCTCTTAGCGAGAAACCTGTGCATCGAGGGGACAAAGTTTTCAACATTATAAACAGAAGTGTGGAGTCTGCTGGGATACAAACGATAGATAGTAGTGGCACTTTATGTGAATTAGCACATTTAAATCTCAGAACCACCTTTAAGAAATTAGTCCAGTATTAGCCCCATATTTATTTGAAAAAACTCAGGCACAGACAGGTTGAAGAACTTAGCCTCACATAACAAGTGGAGAGCCCAAATGCAGGTGTAGAGAGTTTGACCGTGGAGCCTGGGGCTGGGGGTACTTAGGAAGAGGAAGAAAATAAGTGAATGTGTGGGTGGCTCTTTGGGTAATTTTAGGCAGAAGGCATGACTTGAGGAAAGGCTAAAATGGATGACCAGAAGTTCAGGACCTGTGATTGGAAGGGATTATAGGAGAGAGTTGTCGTTAGAGCTAAGCCTAACTACATGTAACATGGCAATGGAATGAGGCAAGGAGGTGATAGCCTAAGACAACCAGCTCTGTGCTAGACTTTTCTACCTGTATGCCCCTCTAGCATCTCAAACTCAATGTGCCCAAAACAGTTCCTCTCATACCTGTTTCCTATAGAATAAGTATAGCTACTAAGCTCAAATTGTGCTCCAGACTCTAGCCTGGACCCAGGGTACCGGAATAAATGCAATCTCACTGTTTCTCTCACAGACAGCAGGGTTCGGGAGGTAGATTTCTAAATTGAGAATTATAATGCAGTGTTGTAGGGGAGGGGCCTGGAGGAGTGAGGGATAGACCAGGAACAGTTACCTGGAGGAGACGTGTTAAAAGGTCGACTAGGAAAAGGAGCGCATTCCAGGGAGGGCACCAGCATGAACAGTGTTGAGGGGAAGACATGACAGGGGGCTTACAGGCAGCTGCTATTAGCCCAGTATTGGTAGAGCATGGCATCCAAGACAGGAGAGATTGGCAGGGGCTAGTGTGCTCTATTCAGTGCTCTTCGAATGCTCCCTTTCCAATATGCACTAACAGTGACTTTGGGCAAACTAATTCACCTCCTGTGCCTCAGTTTTCTTATCCGTAAAATGGGGTCACTGTGAGGTTTAAATGCAGTAGTACTTGTCAGTGCATGTGAGTGGTACCTAGTACTCAGTAAGCATTAGCCGCTACTGTCAACTGCGTCTCCCAGCCAGTGTACTCTCAATCATGAAATCCTGTTGATTTGTATTCCTCAAAGGCTTTCTCCTCTGTCTTCCCCTCTCCCTGCCAAGTGCTCTTATGCTCCATCGTTTTCACTCTGAATGCAGTTTCAGCTTCCTCGGCTGGTCTCCCTGCCTCTAGTCCTGGCCCCTCCTGATCCCGCTTGCAAGTCTGATCCTGTTATACCTCTGCTTACAACTCTTGAAGGTCTCCTCTCTGCTTGCACATCAAAGCTTAACCTTTCTGGTTTGGCAAGCAAAGCCCTCTGGGAGCTGAATGCCCTTCTCTCCTCAGCCCCAGCACCCCCAGCACCCCCTGCATGGGGAGGTGATGTAGCGTGACTGATTACACCAGGTTTTCTCAGGTGTCTGGACCTTGTTCTGAAACACACCTCCCTCCCCCTTTACGAGGCTCCCTCACCCCTCCTTGTTGATCCTACCCATATGACTTAGTTCCTCTCTTGGGACCTCTCAGGATAAGTCCTCTCCCTAACAGTCTTCATTTTGTGCCCCTCTGTGGGCTGTAAAATTTCAAAGCAATGACTATATCTTTTATCTGTGTGCACAGTGCCTGGCACATAGTAGGTGATGGATATGGCTCTCCGACTGACTGAAGGACAGAATGAAGGACAGTAGGGGGCAGTACTCCAAGCACATGTTTTTAAAAACTCATTTAGTTACAAAATAAATCCAAGAAACTATTCGATGACGTCGCTTATTTTTGCCCTCCACCACCTGGCACGTTTGTTATTATGCAACCTAGATACTCATCGTCAGCATGGATTAG